TGGATGTTGATCAAAACTTGGAAGGTGAGTCATACCAAAAAACATATTTACCTTGAGGGTAAAGTTCATTTTCCCAGTTCAGACTACGTGTCATTCTCTGGAGAATAAAATTCTTTGTTTGGGTTATATCCATATTTATGTGTCTTAATTCGCGCAACTATTAAACAAAAAGTTATACTCAAGGGAATGACACGTGGTCTGAAACGCACATGTAAAATAAAGAGGTCTATTTACTGCATGATCCATGCATTCTTTAATTCTTAGTTGATACGATGTTTTGCTTCCTCTTGTTGTTTGTTTTTAGCGACATTTCCAGTACTATGACAAAGATAACATTGGCGAGATGGGCGCGTACGAGTTACGTGATGCTCTCAAGGGACTAAGTAAGTAAGAAGAAAAGTCTATAAATACCCGGTATTTTTCTTCGAATTTCTTTTCCATCCATTTGGAATCGTGTGGAGTGAAACCTCGACAGCCATGAAGTCTTGATAAAGCGCGCCAATCTGCGAGCGAGATGTGACTTTTTCTCTTCTTTCCGGACAGATTTCAAGCTTAGTAATCGTTCACTGGAGACCATTGTACTGAGGTTCCACAGCAAGCGTGGCGTCATCAGTTTCGACATGTTCGTACAAATTAACGTCAGGCTTGTTTTGATGTTCGGTGAGTCTATTAGGTATCTCTCTTAGGCTCATGTAATCGGTCCGACGGCATGCTGATTGTGTACTTTTTTGAGAATGACACGTGGTCTGGAATGGGAAAATATTCCCCCCAACTAATTTATTGAGGTCTATTCTTCGTCATAAGAACCCAAAATGCGATAAATTTTTCTCTAATTATCCAGTTTTCATACGTTTTCATTACAGAAAGTTTTCTTAGAAGATCGCGAGCTTCGCGGACTGGCAAGGTTGTTTTTAGCATGGATGACGTAAGTATGATGTAAGAGATGCAAAGCCTTCCGTAGTTTAATGTGTCAATCAATTGTTGATTGACATTGACACAAAAATAGTTTAGGCATACTTTTTTTTCATTAAACATTTTTTTTCTTCTWTCGATTCTCTYTTATTTTTAGTTCATTATGGCAACTCTCTGCATTTGAAGACATGTCACTACCCAGCCTGCAACAGGAGCAAAATTAGTCCAATTAATCAGTAAACTACTTCGAACATCTATGTTGATTGTTGTAGACTAAGTGTTATCCCACACATTGAAGATACAGCCAATCAAAATGCATGAAGACCGATGTGCATGTGATGGTTTTTCAATGCTGTGATAGAAAATAGTTATTCAATGCTTCCTCGTGATACACCATGGAATATCCCACTTCCCAATTATATGTCTTTAGTAAACAGCACGATCCCCTAAAGGCTTGTGCAAGAAGCCATGGTATGCCACGCAAAATATTATTATTAAATATTATTATTATTCTATCATTATTATTGTTAATAGTTATAAAAGTTGATGTTGTTAAATAAATTTACTCGACAGTAAGTTTTCCAACATTTGTTGGTCAACAAAACCTTCACCAATGTTTTTTGAAGTAGCTGTATCTGTCTTGCTTACATGTTAAGGTCACGTAACCACCGAAAGTCAGTATGGCCATGGAACCTAAATATCACAATATGCTATTYACGAGTTGGYTCACCGCTGACCGCCAGCAAYGCAGGCTACGAGTTGATCACGATCTTCAATTTTTCATGATTACTCATCACAGAAAATAAAACCCTTGGTCACGTCTCATGCAAAACCCGCTTACCGCGACGAAAAAAACCTTTATTTTCTCACTCAAACTCTTCTAGATAGTTCTTAGAAAACGTGCTGAAATGCACGCATGCGCAA